AATAATAATAATAATAATAGGAAAATTATAGTAATAGGGAAATAATAATAATATTTCTCTCCCTAGAATGGAGGTGGGCTCCTTTGTGCAGTGGATGACTCCAATGACCACGTCCTCTCTGTCTGGGATTGGCAAAAGGAGCAGAAGCTTGCCGACGTGAAAGTAAGTGATTGGAAACTTGTTTGTTTACTTGCAATCGCAGTCTGTATGTATCGCCATGCATGGCGCGGGATTGTGGAGATTGCTGCCCAAAGGAGTGTAGCATGATGCTCTCTCTGATGCTCTCTCTCCATGCATGGTGCGGGATTGTGGAGACTGCTGCCCAAAGGTGTGTTGCATGCACCTGATGCTCTCTCTCTCTCCTTCCTCCGGAAGTGCTCCAACGAATCCGTCCTGGCGGCCACCTTCCACCCAACAGAGCCCACGTTGCTGATCACCTGTGGGAAATCCCACATCCACTTCTGGACGCTGGAAGGAGGCAGCCTCAGCAAGCGGCAGGGCATTTTCGAGGTGAGAACATGACAGAAAGGGTCAAACTTTGGGGCGAGCTGCAGAGGATACTTTGAAATGCAGAGGATACATTTGATCCATGGTCATCTCAACGGGCGACTTCCAAGTGGATTGAGTCCAAACACGTTACCCTATTTCCTTGAGTCTCGTGCACTATTGGATCTTAGGTGCACCCCAATTTGCAAAACCCTGAAACCAAAGAATTTGCCGACGAATGACATGCGCGACGACAAATAGTGTACATTGCAAAGGCTTAGGATTCCTGATTTACAAACAAAAGCAAACCCCAAAGCTTCCATTAATGGAAAGGAAAACTTTGGGGTGCATCTATGCTGTAGAACAGCGTTTCTCAACCTGGGGGTCGGGACCACTGCAGGGGGTCGTGAGGGGTCACCAAAGACCATCATAAAACATGATGTTGGTCATGGGGATTCTGTGTGGGAAGTTTGGCCCAATTCTGTCACTGGTGGGGTTCAGAATGCTCTTTGGTTGTAGGAGAACTATAAATCCCAGCAACCCCAACTTCCAAATGTCAAGGTTTATTTTCTCGCAAACTCCACCAGTGTTCACATTTGGGTATATTGCGTATTTGTGCCAAGTTTGGTCCAGATCCATCATGGTTTGAATCCACAGTGCTCTC